AGATTTTGGTCACTCCTAACTTTTGAACAACCTAATCTTTCCTCAGAAAATATTAGTCGTCGAGGAAGGCAGTCGCTCAGCATGCAGTAAACGTGTTCAAGCCATCTTAATCCGTGTAGCTTCACAACTTTATTGATTGTTTCTGCCTCATTAGCTAACACTTTACCCCTAACATCAATATTGCTCAAAATATTATGCCATTTAACATAGGAGACGGAACGCAAAAATCTGTGGTCAAACGGAGCTATCATTTTGATATCTCCCACTCTCGACGACATCTTCCCTCAGCGAACTGATGCGCAGTGCACCCCCGTCCTCTTATCGATAGTCGGATATCACGTCTACACGAAAGTGAAGTAAGTTGGGGAATGGCAAACACGCCTTTTGTATCGCTGGTGAGATTTCGTTAACAATCAGTCTTTTTAAGGCTGATGCAGCTTCCCAAATATGTGAAGTGGTCAACATGCTCAACCATTCCATTCCCTGCCTTTAAGCTAGGAGTCGGTACAGACCAGTCTTGCAACATCATCTTACATTTGACAGAAGCGAATAGTATGCCAAACACTCGAAGATTTCCGTTCAAGATACTCATAAGATTCTGCATTTTGTCAGCATCTTCACATATGAGGACAATATCATCCGCTTACCACACATTACAAAAACTTTTCCCTGACAGGGAGTCAATCCCTAAGTTGCTAAACTCAGTCAATTCTATTGGTACACCTTTGATGAAATTAAACAAAAATGGGACAGTATGCCTCCCTGACAGACACCACTGGTTGTCATCACTTCAGATGGCAACTCTCTATAAGGTCTTCCACGACTGCATGAATTCGAGTAGAGTGGCTTGATTAGTGCGATGTGCACTCCCATCACGGCTAAAAATCGCCACAGCACCTCTCGATCGACGGAGGTCCATCTTCGTCCACGTAACTCCAGTGGTGTTCAAGTATGCAGCTGCAGAAATAAGTTTTTCCTTTGAATCAGTACATGCATAGCAATAGCTGAGCTTCTTCTCATTTTATTGTGGTCAATGATTCTATACTTAGTCAGGCAATTTAGCTTCGCTAATTTAACTGACATCCCTCCCACCAGCAACAGATCTAACCATATAATCATTGATAGGTCTTCGATAGATCATAACATTCTGTCTATTCAGGTCAACAGAATTCTAGTGGCTTAGTTCATGGGTTGGAATGTTACCGGAATTTCCCCAGTAATAAGAATGTTAAGTAAGGTCCTAATATTTGTCCTTTAAATATTAACAGTACAGAAGGCTCTGGAACTGAATTTTCCACGTAGAACTTTGCACAGAGGTGAGATAGTTTAAGTTGCCACACATAAAACAAACGCTAAGAAACTGTAATGAACAGAAATGCAAGGGGGAAAGAAATAATTACATTGAGAATAATTAGAGTTTGATCAATCTGGGAGTGTATAGAGAGTGAATGTATCTCAGCTTTTAACAACAACCTGGAGTCCTATTTCCTACAGTCTATAATCATCAGCTATTAATGTCTCAAGGACTTAAGTCAGGCATTTTACACCTCTGTTAAAGGATGAAGCACTGTAAAACTCTTAAAGAAGGTAAAGTGGTAAATAATTCCCCAAAATTATTAGCCTACAGCATTCATCATTCAACACTGAATGCTGACCTTTACTGCTTTACTGCGATCAAGCATCTGTGCCATTTGGCGCGCTGTTGTATTACGTTCGGTCATTCGTGCACGATCTCTAGCTAGCTGAGCAATCACCGTCATATTACAGTTTCCATCCCGAAATGAAACTCGTATTTTGAACTGTCAATTTGATGTCTTGATTTGTTTTTGGTCTAAACAGAACGAATACTATAGGAGTAAGGGGATAAAAACTTCCGCTTTTATGCATCGTACTTTCTATAAACTTCACCATCCCTTCATCTCCTAATACAGACAGGTGTAGAAACAGAAAGGAAGACGCTGACTACTTAATTTCTACTCCACAAATTAATGCATTTGCAATAGGAATGATGCGCTACTGATGTTTCAAGCATAGAAAATCCGAAAACGAATGAGAATGAAGGAAGTGCCCAGCAGTAAATACCTGCATGAGTCAAGTCAAAAAGTTGTTTGATCACTTTTATTTGAGTGCAAACAATCAATTGTGCTTGGGAGACTCTACCACAGTAAATAATATTGCATCACTGTGTGCTATATACAAGGATAGGTCACTAATGAGTAAGCAATCCTATGCGTCTAGTGTTCAAGGTGTTGCTGCACACAGAATTCTGTCAGTCAAGTTTGAAATGTGATCATCATACACTAAGTGGTTTCCTCCATTGTGGTGCACTCTGAACTGATGCTAGGAGAGTCGACGGCAATCGGCAGTAAGCCCGAAAAGCTCAATGGTAACGTCTCTGACTGACCGAAAACACCGACAATGGCCTACAGGCATGAAGGCTCGGCTTCCTGCAAATTACCTTCAACCACTGAACATCAATGCAGTATAATATTACTATACCTGTCAGAGTTCTACTCTGCTACAATGTTGTATTCTTACAACAACAACAAAAAGAAAACATGAAGAAGGTTGGTATACACACAGTAAATGTCATCTAGTGGAGCACTTTCCCAAAGATAAAAACAAAAGAATCGGCAGCTCCCTATGGAAAAGGAAAACACCAACAACAACCACAACAACAACATATGAACATGCGATAACATCGTGGGAAACTGTCTACCGTCTATGTGAAATATGCCTACTTAGAAAACAATCAAGCAACAGAAAACACAAGTGAAAGTTTATGCCACCAAAACCGGTGGAAACTTTCCTGTGAATAAATATCAATGAAAATATTTGTTATTCTACGTACAAAAAAAGACAAAACAAAAAACAAACGAACGAACAAACAAAATAAAACAGTAGCCTACCGATGCAAAACTTTATTTCTTATAAGGTAAGTGAATATACAAACAATTAGAGCAAATAACAAGAATCAAAAAGAAATTATGTAAGTAAGCAAATATGCACCGTAAAGTCAAGAGCTGTACAATAATACTTTCATTGGACACTAAGTACTAAATAATGTCATGCATCCTTTAGTCCTTGGTATTGGTGCAAACTGAATCCTATCAGCCAAGTGCGCACAGTGTGATTGATCATCATACTGGGTGGAACATCGTCATGGTGCACTCTGAATTGGTTTTAGATGCTCCAATGCAATCGGCAGGAAGCCTTAGGTCTACGTCACGTGCTTGTCAGTACTCGTCAGCTAGGCGTATCTGTAATCTTGAAGGGACTCATATCCGCTCTGAGATCCAAACCAGGGCTAATAAGCATGAAACCTAGATGAAGTCCTTCTAATTGCCTTCAACCATCTTGCATCAATTCAGCATATTATTTCTGTTACGGAGTCTGCATAGCATTAGTTAGTATCTACTGTTTAGTGAACGTGTCTATTACAGTCCTATAGGAGGTCAATTACCAACCCAAATAGGTTAGTAGTAACGTCTCTGATTGCAACACTGGATGACGCGGATTTGAATCTCAGAATGGAGGGCATGAGTTCCTTCGAGATGGCAGACACGCTTTTCGTGTCAAGAAACACAAAACCCAAGGCTAAAACTTCCTGCAGATTGTTTTCAAATATCTAACTACTATACGATGAGCATATCCCTATTCTTTTGGGTGTTGTTGTGTTTTTTAATCTGTGCGTCGGTGGCACAGTGGTTAGGACTCTCGCCTACCATGCACATGGTCCGGGGTTCGACCCCTCTGCCGACGCACACCTGACATCAATGGTCGACCTGCAAAATTTGGGCTACCGATATCACATGCTGAAAATTCCATAATTGTGGAATCAAGCTGTAGTCAAAAAAGAGTCGAAAAAAATGCACCTTTAATTGTCATTGTAAGCAAAATCTTGAAAGCCAACTTCATGATCATGACTTTATGTTAAGTGGAAGAGAGCAAATTACACTACTAACACTCTTCCTTTGAGACTAGCTCAGACCATAACTACTGCTACTGTTTATCGGTGAATTTCACGCCAATTTCATTCTATACAGATGTGGATGCACTTTCCTGTTAAAATCTGCATTAATCACAGCCACAATCAGATATCTCTTTTGAAAAATGCGGAATACCAACCAGTAAAATGAAGTGCTAACCTCTCACATAGCAAGCATAAATTAAATGTATCTTACACCTCAACAACCTATGTTAGTTACACACCACACTCTGAACCACATTTAAAGTACATTCTGTCTACTAGCATTGTCCCAAGCAGATGAAACATATTGTGAACGCAAATTATAGTTGTACCGAAAAAGAAAAAAACAACAAGCGACCACTTTCTCCCCGAAAACATTACACTAGAATAGTATCACACTAAGGAGGTGGGTGCACCAGCACATGAAATGAAGTGATTGTCGCTAACTTATCAAAGAATATGATGGTCACATGTACATCAGCTAAGCAGTCAATAGGCAACTACAGCACGATAAACGTGAATAAAGACAGCAAAGTAGACGAAAAGACAGTAAGAAAACTACATCATTTAAAGCAACAAAACATCTGTAAGACGTTTGTGAACCACACAACAAATAATGAGTTAAAATGAAAACTTCTACGAAATATTGAGCGGAAGAAGTCGATTTCTGCCAACTAGACACCTCTAGAACTATAAATCGAACTATAAAGCTTCCGAACGTTCACGGTAAAGAGGTTGCTGGAGTTCATCGTGACTTTCGCTGTCTGTCTAAACACGACAAATTCATTTGAAAAACAAGGTTCCTCCGAAGGCTTGCTCTTTCTTTCCTGGTGGAAAATGTTTTACAACCAAATACCAGCTACTCTTCGTAAACCGATTATCAGTCAACTGTTATAACTACCTAATGGTGTTGTCCGTGTTACTAAGTCACCCTAGTAGAGGGAAATTTATTTATCGAAAAACAAAAAAAACAAGTCGACAGATTCAAATTATCAGAAACAGGATAAAAAACAAACAAACAAACACGAAATTACTTTGGAGGTCTCTTGGTCACAAGGGCAGATACAACAAGTCTGGCATTTAAATTCGCTTCATTTCGATAGCATGGATGACACAAACACGGTGTCTCTCGAGGATACTGTAACAATTGCTCGTTTAGCGATTGTCCTATAAGAAAGGAGAAGAAAAGGATACGAAAAAATAACCAACGTGACAAAAAAAGCCAACGAAGTAAAAGATGGTACCATTTTATTCTGCTAAAACTGTAGTTCTTGCTTTATTCAGACACGTTTTTGTCTGTTCATTTGTCTTAAGAGAGAACTCAGAAGTAAAAATTTGTCTAGCAACCAAAATTTTATTCAGTAGTCATGCAGCATCACATCATATGAATTGATGACACGCTTTGATTACGTAATCTCAGTGGAAAGAAAGCAAAAAAAACAATCGTTAGAAAGTGTGAACAATGAACTGGTGTCATCGTAAGAGTCTGAAGTTCCTGAATAGCAGGTACTGATGATGAACTTTTAAGTGGACGAAACGATCACTTAAAAGACCAATCACTTTGTGTAACCAGGATAAAATTATCAAAAATGAAAAGCTGTCAGGCTTCTAAAGAAGTCCTCATTATAATTATTATTTTTTTGAAAAAACAAAACAAAAACAGAACGATTAAATGAAGATTAAGTAAAACAGTGTTCACAGTTATTTGAAGGTGAATGTGACTGACTTCCACCCCGTTAGTTAAATCTGTCAATGGATGGGAGACAACTACTCTACGGATAGTTTGTCGTGAGAAGTTATTAGACAGAAATTTTTCTTGCAATTTTTCTCCTGCTGACTGTCTTCACACACACACACACACACATCCCACTAGTTCCAGTGGAATCGATACTCAACAATAGGCATTTCTGAATACAAAAAGAAGTCAACTTTCCTTCACATTTACATTCAGATAACGTTTCGGGAGTTGTAGTAGTAGTAATAGTAGTAGTAGTGTGGTGAGAGCTGTCTACTAGCCAAATTGGTAGACAGTAATTTACGTCAATATTAACGTTCCCAAGATTTGTCGTGAGAAAATGTGAACAAAGATTGACTTTGCGTAGGCGGATGCAGTTAACATATAGAGGATTCGACATTCAAGAAACAGTCACAAATAGATGAAAGATTAACTTTACGTGAGAAACAAGCAATCAGAAGACTGTGTTTGTTTGCTTAAATATCCATAATAATGTACATGAAAATATATAAGTATGCGTTGATTTCCTTAATAAATGATCTGTTGCCTGACTCTTGCCTTCTGTTGTAACAGTAGTAGTAGTAGTAGTGGTGGTGTTTGTCCTTCAATATATCACAGTTGTAACTTATACTAATGCAAAAATATTAGTGTATTTAGTTTTTAGGGTTATATTATTGTACTAACTCTATGTGGTCACATGAATATTCAATAGGTGGTTCTAGGTTTGCGGTTGTGATTTTAGAAGCCTATCCTAAAACAATGAGCTACAGTTCATTATCAGATAATAACAAAATTTTATTTATGCTGACCTAATATATATATATAGGCTTGCATGACATAGCTGCTTGCGTGCAGGAGACAAAATGCAAATGCACACAGTTTTTAAAAGAGAAAATATAACATTGAACAGTGTGAGTGGGAGAGAGTGAGTGAGTGAAGAAAATCTACTTAGCATACTAAATCACGTTCTTAACCAGAAGAACAGAGCAGTATGTTAGTGTTTGTTTTGTTTTTTTTGATGGCACTATATAAACATCTGAGAAGAAAGCTTTATTTAGTTCATTAAAATTTACATATTATAAAACCAACAACATGCATATACATACAATAATAATAATAATAATAATAATAGTAATAATAATGGGGACTATATTAGTGAAGACAAAAACAACACATCAAGCCGTTGACTTTTCAAGTGTATTTCATCACTATGCAGCTATTTGAACACACTAGTGCATATCATTTTTTAAAATCTAAACAATAGGTAGAATGGAGAAAGAGAGAGAGAGAGAATATCACCCACTCATGAAAACATTCAACTGCTCTTTTGCTGAAGGCATCCTACTTTTTTTCACCTCTTTCATTTACTTATCATTGATGTATTAGAATAGTAAACGAATGTATTTTTATGCATCACTTCTACTACAAAACAACAACAACTACTGCTGCTGCTGCTGTAGAGTATACACATCTTGCCATTTCACCCGCTTAAAAGTACACTTTACAGGATGAAAAGTTGTACCACCACCTTTCTGACCTTTATTAATAACTATTATCAATAACTGTCAGCAATGTCCTATTTATACAATTCTCGGGTAGTCGGAATCTAATCCCGTGATTGCATTGTCAACCAACAGCTGGCCTGGTAATCTAAGCATCTTAAACTCGATACATGATGGCGGTTGTAAATGTAAACTGATGAAGGGACGCAAACTAGGAGGAAGATGGACTAACGAGATGGATTGTGCGCACATATCAAAGATTTAGTAGAATTGTCACTGATTCATTCATTTACAACACAACACCTGGTACAATATAGCCACCAAGAAGATGCGCCACAATTGCTACTAACCGCTTCGCAATTAGTACCGGATGGATCAACAGTTTCTAACTAACCCACCAGCACGACCAACCACGAGCACACTGAGGCCGTGGCTATCATAATGTCACCAACCAACATCATCCAAGCAACTCATGCAGTCAGAACCAATCCCCTCCACGATTTTCACACCAAGATTCAACCCGAAAGGAGGCAAGGTTACAACTATACAATGATATGCACCTAGAAACAACGCACACCAGAACAAGAAGGAGAAGAGGAACAAGAAGGAGGAGGAGAATCAAGAGGAGGAGGACTTCTACAGACAGCAGAAAACAGTAATCCACAAAAGCCCACCGTAGATAGCAACATCGAAATTCGAATGGGTGATATGAATACCATTGAAACTGGGATCAGACAACACAGGAAGAGGATTCGTCATGAAGCAAGAAGAAGGCTGTCGGTGAAGTTAATGACGACGAGAAACTATTCGCACACTTATGAGTTTCTAGTGATTTGATGTGTTGCAGGCGCTGTGCATAAGTACGAGAATATACAAAAGGATGAATTGGTGTCACCAGACGAACATACTACCCACTTGAAGCGAAATATTAGGCTGCATCATCCTGGAGAGACTGGAAGATGCTCCTTCCTGAACAAGCCAAATTCAGGAAAAACAAATCATGTGTGGATAGGTTCTTGACTGCTTCGCTTCCAAAGTTCCTCATTGCTTATCCTTTCTGGGCAACTGATCTTCAATGTGAAGGAAACGCACGTATTGATGAAATTTCGGCTTGCCAAAAAAGCTTTTTGTAACGCTTGCACCAAATTTTTGAACCACATAGAAACACTTACTTAAGTTTTGATAATCCTTATTTTGTTTCTTACACTGAGTGCTCTAGATTTCCACACTGAAACTGGGATAACGAAGGCCTATCTTGCCTTTCTGATGCTAGCACTGATATCGTCCCTGTGCTATCTGCCTGTAGTTGAAACTATGTCATCTTAATAAGTGGAAAAAATAACTTCTTTCAAACTTCTCTCGTTAAAAGTGATTGGTATTTGTTGTTGTAAGGGTGTCTTCATCACGTTTGTCTTCCCTATGTTCACCTGAAGTCCCGTCTTCTGTACTTCTTCTGTCAACTTGTTGGTTTTCGCATGTATATCTTCGAGTGTGTGCGAAACCTAGCGTCTTTTTGTTAGTTCGAAGTATGTCTTTCTTCCCACCACTTCGCAATGCCTATCGGAGGATTCAGTCCACAATTAGGTAAATCATCAGTAACAACAGGCAGTCTTGTCTTGCTCCCGTCTTAACTTCAAATGCTTCGCTGAGTTTTCCCTTTTGAATCACTTGTCATGTGGCATCATATAGCTGTTAAATGAGGTATTTATAGATATATAATGTTGCGGGTATAGCATGTTATGTAGTGTAGAATCATCTCTAAAATGACATTGGGAATCTATCAGCAAAACCGCTTTCAGTGAATCCAAGTTAGACCAATGTTAGGATATATTACAAAATTACTGAAAGTAAATACTACCCATTTCAAAAAATAATAACAACCATACTAGCAAAACACTTACTGGCTTGATCAGAGAGAATTAGTTCAGGATCACAAATATATCCCTTCTTATCAATTCCACATTTTCTAAATTCTGGAGAATACGGGCTGGGAGGATATTCACGTCCGATATCTGAACCATTCGGATTGTCAATCAATGGAATTAGACTAAAGTGCCATGCGAGTAGACTTTTACGTAACGTTTCATTGACAGCAAAACAGAAATCTACAATTTCAAGAATAAGAGAAACATACATTTCATGATAAGGGTTAATTTCTTTTACACTTTGGTGACTCTAGGCTAACCGCAAAAAATGCCTTTACGACTACAATCTGCTGTTTCATTGCATTAGTAAACTGTAGATACTGGTCGGACGAGATGCTAGCGCATACAACATATTCATTCCTACATGCTGTTTTGTGATAAGTGTTCAGGAAAAATATCTCAGCTAAAGGAAACAGAAAGAAAAGGAATTTTTGATAGTGATCAAATCGAATTTAGTGACAACCAACAACATAACGAACATTTGTCCACTCAGATAAACTTGCATTATATGATGGTTTGTAAGTGAAAACTAAAGACACAACTCAAACATACAGAAACAAAGATCACTGTTTTCATGATGTTATACATGACTATACCAAAAGAGGAATAAGAAGGATAACAGAATATCAGTTACATACACAAAACTGATAAGCAGAACAGAAAATGCAGCAATGTAAGCAAAAGAATAAATAATAAAGATAGTGAAAGGTGAATAGCAGTTACGCCTGAGTATTTGACTTTCAACCATCAGGCTAAACGCACTCCAGAGGTCTCCTTACACTAGTTTAAATATCCAATCAGTGACAGCTCACAACCTAGGGGATTAGTGTTGTAGATGTTTCACACTTCATACAAAATTAAATGCATGCCCAAACCAGACTAGTTAACCTTATCATTCTCACTGAATACCAAAAACACGCCATTTAATAATTTGGTGAAGAATAATATCCGTAATACAAGTTGTATTTAGTGATACTAATAATGACTTGAAGTGAAAAACACCACCAATCAAAAAATGCTTATCAGGAACTTTGGTAGCAAATAACATCAGATATCTAGATAGTACCCAATATATGACTATTCCAGATGCTTCACTTTCAGGACTGCCTGAAAACACAAACGTTTACAAAAAAACAATTTGCACTTCAATGCAGAACATACAAGGAAGGAATCTCTGAATACAGCACTGAGGCACAAGTTAGAAGTACAGAAAACACAGATTTCCCTAAAGTTGTTGATATGAACTTTGAATGCCAGAAAGCAAAGGACGTAGGTCCATGGGTTCTTCGCATTGACTCCAACCATATTTACAACATACCATACACCTGTTTCCTGTCATAAGGACAGCCTAAAGTACCTTATCGGACAGTTTTGAAGAATTTAATTTGACATAATTTGAAAGTGAAGAAAAAACAGAGAGAAAAGTAAGAATAAAGGATTGTATCTAAACCCAGACTGGATTAACAATTTATTTAGAAATTCACAATTACAGAAGATGAATGTATGTAAGCCACTAAGACATACTGTGCAGGTAGCTAACACCGCTGACAAGAGTTTCTTTTCACCCTATTCGAACTAACGGCATTTAATTGAAAACATGCGTCACTTTACAATTAGTGGGGACTCCATGTAGCTGACAATGAGCCACAATTATTGTGTAAGGGATAATGATACTACCTGGTAGCACAAACTTCAGTAGGTGAAGAGGGGTTATAACCCGCGACCTAGTGGTTAAAAGTCGAGTACCTAGATCAATGAGTTATAGTTTCTCGATTGAAAGTGGAAAATAGTCACAGCATTTATTTCTTGCTCGTGAAGATTGAAATATCCTTTACGTACCTAAACAGAGAATAACTAAAAACTTATCAGAAAGCAACGGAAATTCGCATATTGGTATTATAGTTAACTTGATGTAAGAACAGGGGCAAGGAACTACAGGCCCACAACTACAGGTTTGCAACAATAAGAATATTTCTGCATTTCTACTCTTATCGCAAAGTTATTGTGACTGAGCAGTAAAAGCAATTAATTGCAACATACACTGACTAAGGATCTCACAACAACACAAAAAAATGATGGATGATAACAGAAAAAGAATAAGTACAACAACACTGAAACTCAAAAATTAATTGGATCTAATAAAGACAGACTCATCAAACAGTGGTTGTTAGTGAAACAACTGTGGAAGCATATGACTGTCAGTTGCCGTTATCAGCTAAATTGCAGGAAGACATGATATTTGTTTATTTATTTATTTAAACGCAGAAAAGCTTGGTACAATATGGCACCAAGAAAGATGCGCCACACAATAATAATAAAACAACATAGATTAAAAGTAAAAATATAACTAGAAAACGGATGAAGAACTTCATCTGGAAGGAAAACAGTTATGTTTAACAAGTTCAAACAGTATTCCATAACTATCATCAGGAAGGGAAGAAAGAAGGAAATTGCAACACGTTCGCCATTGATTACGATTCTTGGCCATATCCGATAACGTTTCAAGTCATCGATACGAGCTATCTCGCGGACCGCAACCAGGGAGTCGTGACGCACCAACCGATGCTAAACTAGCACAAATATCCTTCATCCCACGACGCCACGTCATGGACTGACCACCCCTCCGCCTTTTCCATCCCGTCCCAGGGCTGGCCAGCGAACAGAGACCTGTACGGAAGCCTCTGGGATGACATTCGCAGCACATGTCCAAGCCACCGGAGCCGGTGTTTCCAGATGACGACACTCAATGAATGGTGATCTCCACTGTGTTCAAACACACGCCACTGAACCTCAGAATTACTCACGCGCCGATGCCATCGAACACAAGCAATCCTGCGGAGACAGCGATGATCAAACACGCTGAGTCGCCGCACATCCTCAGCTCGGAGAGGCCAGGTTTCACAGGCGTGGAGCAAGACAGCCCGCACCGAAGCATTGTATACCCGCCCTTTGACAGCCAGGCTAACGTCGCGACGGCGCCAGAGGTGGCTCAAGTTGATGTATGCCACCCTAGCCTTCATTATATGGTTGGAAATCTCATCCGTCACCCCTCCGCCAGCACTCACATAACTACCCAGATACACAAACTTATCAACAACTTCAAGCGATTCACCCGCAAGAGTGAGTGCAGGTACAGGCTCCTGCCAATCTTGTAACGGTACTTTGCACTTAGACAGTGCAAAGCACATACCATACTTACAGACACTGATCGCCAACTGATTAAGTGCAATTTGGGCAGCCTGCATGCTATCGCACAGTAAAACGATATCGTCTGCATACTCGAGGTCGAAAAGTCTATCACCAGGTAGCAAATCTACACTACCTTCACGCACATCCTTCAGAGCTGACTCCAGAATGTCATCGATGGTAAAGTTAAAGAGAAATGGAGAGATTGGGTGACCCTGTCTAACCCCACTGTTGGTTGGGAACAGTGATGACAGTTGGTTGTATGACCTCACTCTACCTGAGGTGTTTCTGTATAGGGCTTTCAAGATGTTAACAAATTTCTCAGGTACACCTCTCTCTAACAGACAGTTCCAGAGCACACTTCTGTCTGGGCCGGGCGCCTTATGGCGTTCTAGCACTCGGAGTTCCTTACGGACCACCGCTTCGGTGGGTGAGTCGGTATTAACAAACCAAGGAGAACTGGGGCTAATGACAGAAGACATTGAAGCTGAGCTGATGATTGGTTGGGTTGGCGGAGATCATGTGAAGATATTTTTCATTAGTGAGCGATATTCATCGAAAAGTAAATGACTACTTACAATGTACATATGTATGTTGATAACACATAGTGAAGTGTATACGAAATCGATAAACACAATTTCATGCAGTGATGACTCAATACAGTGAAAGTAGTAATTACAAGGACAAAAATGATGCTAATGATAATTATAATAACGATAATATTAAAGTGTTCCCAACTGCTAAGCTGGAAGCATTCATACAGGTTGACTGAATGTGAACCAGCTGCCTGATGCTACAATTACAATGTAATATGAGGTGAGTCAATACAGTGAAGAAAATAATCCTAATAATAATAATAATGCAACTAATAAATCACTGTGGTGAGCCTGACGTGGACTAAACACTAAACTCAGTTGTCATATAAAGGGGGCAAAATAAATAAATATAAATAAAATAAATAAATAGGGCAAATTAGTTAGCTTATTCAGACTGTATAGTACTGTAACAACAGAAGACAAGGGCCAGGCAACAGATCGTTCATTAAGGGAAATCAACACATATTTATAGATTTCAATGTACATTATTGTAGATTATTGTTCGTAGAAAATACAGTCTTTTGATTGGTTGTTTCTCACAGAAAGTTAACCTTGCATCTCTTTGTGGCTGTGTCAGATCCTCCATATGCTAACTGTATCCGCCCACGCAAAGCCTTTGTTCTCTTTTTCTCACCACCAATATTGGGGACATAAACATTGACGTCAATTACTGTCTACGAACTTCGGCTAGCAGCCAGCTCTCACCACAGTACGACTGTTAGGGTAAGTACTTCCTACAAAATCGCAATTACTTGCGATTAGGTCTAAGTCGAAATTGCACAATTCAATTTATATAATCCAGCGGTACAACAAATGGGTAGGTTTCGATGATATTTTACTCCACTCCTGAAGTCGCTGAAGGGATGGTTGAATACGCTTTGGATGAGGATGTGACGGTTCCTGAGAATTCCAAAGTAATCTGTAAAGACTCCGTATTGGCACACGAGTAGTTGTGGAGAGCAAGAAGACGTAGCATCAACCAAGGAAGTGTGTATTTCAAAGTAGCGAAAAGTCGACCTCTTAAACGAAGATGTCAATTAAAGCAAAAGATATATGAAAGTTGTCGTTTTTGTCACTCGACAAAAAAAATGTACAAAATCATCACTTTGAGCTCTACAGTGGTTCCCTTGAAGGTAGACAGTGAGTGAGGTAGTGGTAGTGAGAGAGAGATGGAGGAGGGCGAGAGGAGAATGGATGAATATAACACAACAATGTATGTGACATGCACCTACAATTAATAGTAGGAGGAAGGAGTACTTTCCAGTAACTCAGTATCTCTGTCTCTCTCTCTCTCTTGTGTGCGCAGTGAATGGTTTCAAAGAGCAAGAGAAAATATAAATTATGCTGTACTGTTGACAGATATGATATATGCTTGAAGAGTAATAACATCTGCCTACA